CGGGCGGCACTGCCCGGCGCCTGTGCCCGGCGGCGCGGAGTGCCTGCGGTTCGGGTGCGCTCGGCTCCTGGCGCGTTTAGATTTCCACCTCATTACAGAGTGTTTCGCAGAGGTGACTGTAAAACTTCCACCTTATGAGAGTGTGGAGGCCTGTGCGTCTGCAGAAGTTGTAGGAGTTTTGCATTATTTTGAAAAGTTCATTATGCTTAGATGCTTTTATAAATTAATGTTAGGAGTGTGGCCTAAATAATATGTTTGGAGAGGGACTTTTCGTTAGGTACTGTAGTGATAGGAGAAGAAATAATGAGTCTAAATTGAAGGAGGGGAAATTTAGGTATCAGGAAGAGGTTGTTTCCTGTGAGGATGGTGAGACACTGGCACAGGTTTTCCAGGGAGTTGTGGATGCCCCAGCCCTGGCAGTGTTTAAAGCCAGGCTGGATGAGGCCTTATCATCCTGGTCTGGTGGGAGGTGTCCCTGCCCAGGGCAGGGGGTTGGGACTAGATGATCTGTAAGGTCCATTCCAACCCCTTAACAGTCCATGATTCTGTGTTTGAAAGAGTGACATGCTCAGACACACACATACGAGTGCTTTGGGTTGCACTGAGCTGAACACCTTCCTGGGGGGATTGTCCAGTAGAGTGGAATGACAAAAAGGACAATGTCGATAGCTGAGTGCTAAGGGGAGAAGCATCCACAGCTGCATATAGTCTTATGTGCTACTTAAAATAGCCTTAAGGCTTACCTGAAATAATCAGATACTCTAAGCAGGAAGCTCAAAAATACAGTTTGCTTCAGTGACTGAATATACCACAATTGTTGCCATCTTGGTTCAGTGGTATTTTTCTTCACATTCAGAATAAAACAATGTTTACATTGTAATTATCTTCTTCATATGCTTAGCTTCGTCCTCTGGTTTCTTTTAGATTGTTGACTAGATTAAAGCACTTTTTATTAACCATGTTTGTTTCATAAGCTCTTACATAGAATGTTATGAGATGGGTTTGACTAGTTGGACCACTTTGACTCATGCATGCTAAAGTGTGTTTCCAGCCCTTCAGGCTTTCTGGTGTCTCCTTTCTGGGTATTTTCTGTTCTTTCAACATCTGTCACAAATCCTGGGCCACTAGCACTGAGCATTGTGGTCTAGCAGTGTATGTTCAGTGACTAAATGCTTACTGTGATTAATTCATGTTCAGGCATCCAAAGACAACTTCCTTCTTTCCAATGCAGTATATCATGAGGAGTTCTTGTTCAGCTCATGACTGAGTAATTTCCAGCTTTCTTGTGTCCCAGAAACATCTGTCCTTATGAACATTGCTGACTCCTCTGCTCTTGTTGGCATGATCTCACATGGTCAAATGTGAGATGTGATTTAACAAAACTCTTTTCAGAGTGGTACTATAATTGAATATGACACAGACTTAATGGGAAGACTGTATCCCGTTACATCATATACACATGTGCACACTCTCCTGTTCTTTAGCAAGGAGTGAGTGTAATTGTCCAGAGTCATCTTCAAATCATCTTTCCAACACTTTTTTTTGTTTACCCTGTAGGTTGGGGAGCATGGCTGCTAAGAAACTGAGAAGAGCACAGTTGTCTCAGGAGCTTTGTGAAAGGCTGAGTCGCTATCAGATCACTACCTGTCAGGTGAAAGAGTTATTTTGGTTGGGGGGGTGGGGGGTTTGTTATTGGTTTTTGGTTTGGTGGTGGGTTTTATATGTGTGTGTGTTCTAATGCAGGTTGTGTTCGCTTTTTTTGTAGTTTAATTAAACAGGGGGTTTTACTTTCTCTAGAAAGTAGGAGTCATTTCAGACTCCATCTGGCCTGCTGCCTTGTGAAAGTATAGGTTTAAAATGATAGATGCCTGACTAAACCATTTAAACTTGTCTGTACTTACTGCCTCTGCAGAGGTAGGGGAGATGTGTAAGCAGCTCTGGAGAAGGACCTGGGGATTCTGGTGGACAACAAGCTGTTCATGAGCCAGCAGTGTGCCCTCGTCACCAATAAGGCCAATGGTATCCTGAGATGCATTAGGAAGAGCAGTGCCAGCAGGTTGAGGGAGGTGATCCTGCCCCTCTACTCAGGCTTTGTGAGGCCACACCTGGAGTATTATGTCCAGCTCTGGGCTCCTCAGTACAAGAGGAATGGGTCCAGTGGAGGGCCACAAACATGATTAAGGGACTGGAGCATCTCTCTTACAAGGAAAGGCTGAGGGAGCTGGGTCTGTTCAGCCTTGAAAAGAGACAGCTGAGAGGGGCCCTCATCAATATATTTAAGTATCTGAAGGGAGAGTGTCAAGTGGATGGAGCCAGGCTCTTCTCAGTGGTGCCAAGCAATAGGACAAGAGGCAACCGGCAGAAACTGATGCACAGGGAGTTCCCCCTGAACATGTGGAAGAACTTCTTTACTATGTGGATGACTGAGCCCTGGAACCAATTGCCCAGAGAGGTTGTGGATTCTCCCTCACTGGAAATATTCAAGAACCATCTGGACACAGTCCTGTGCAATGTGCTCTAGGATGACCCTGTGTGGACAGAGAGGTTGAACCAGATGACCCCACTGTGGTCTCTTCCAACCTGACCCATTCTGTGATTCTGTGATACCTTCACTTCTAAAGAACCAGAAGATGCTTTATTTTAGCAGGAGTGTGCAGCTACTTAGTTGTATGGAGTGAGACAACCATTGGTGAACGCTTCACAAAACTGCATGTGTCCTACATAATCTAGTGTGTGAACATGCTGTGATGTTAAACTATCCGTTATGGGTTGATTCAGCAGCACATTCTGAAGTTGTTCTTAGGAATGCTTGCCTGAAGAGAGCCAAGAGGCCCTATATATTTCAGTAGTATGCATCATAAATATGGGATCTGTGCCTAGGAGTGTCAACTGGAAGACTTAATGTGTTTTTAATGTTTTTCAGGTGGGCAAATTAAGGGTTATCTTGTTGCAATTCCCTTGCACAGATCTCAAATGGTTGGTCCTGTTACTCCATGTCCTATGAATGCAATTTCTTTTAATATACTGTATGAGAAGAAGGAAGGAGAGATACAGCCTAATAGTGTATAACATGTCAGAGTTGTGGAACCTGTGCTATTTGTATATGGATTGTGTTGGTTTAGTCCCTAGTCAGGATTTCTAGGTTGAGCACTCTAAACTGTTCTATCATCTTTCAGGACTTTTTAGGTCTTTCCCTCTTGGAGCTAATGAAAGTGACAGGACAGAACTACTATGAGGTGCAGAGGCTTCTTTGTAAAGTCAGTCGAGCTTGTGCTCCCAAAATGCAGACAGTAAGTATTGTGTTGATACTGGTTCTGATACGATATCTGGCAAAAAGCTGAACAGTGTTGCTCATCTTTTTAGCTGTGAGGGTAGTGATGTCTCAGTTTGACTGCACAATGAAACAATGCTTTTTAATTTAAATGTTGGTCTCTGAGGCACTTTAGTTTGAGTTACATTTATTAGGTGTTATAGCCTCAAGAGATTGTTCAGGCTTGCAGCATCGCTACTGAGTGCAGTATGGAAATGTGTCGTCGTCTCTTGCAGTCCAGCGTGTAAGAACTGCTTCTAGTTTGGATCCTGCAACTCAAAAACCCAAAAATGTTGTTTAATACAAGCAAAGGGTAAGAATTCCAGTATAAATTGTTTTGAGTTATGAAAGTGGAGGTAACTTCTTGAGGATTTTTTCCATCCATGTAAGTGAGCTGCAGAGTGCTTAGGCTACAGGTAGCCTGACTGGGGAGAGTGCAAGAAGGAAACAGACGTTAGCTGCAGTGCAGTGGTAGGTTTTACTTTCTTTTTTGAATTCATGTTAAAAGATGTCAAAAATGGCATCTCTCAGAACAGAGAGGATACAGACAGTTCTGACCTTGGTCAGTGCAGCTCCCTTCTTCTAAAAAAAAAAAAAAAGACATGTCAAAGTTTATCACATGTAATTGGCATAGTAATTAGAGCAGTAATTGTGTGAAACTCCAAATTGGCATACATGCATTAAAGTTAGTGATATGCAGAATGAATATGACTTCTACTGAATGGATTTAAAGCTAGCTAATTAATAGTTTTTCATCAATAACTGTTAATAATTGATGAATTGAAGACGGATGAAAGATTTAAGTAGAGTTCTACCATTTGCTTTTGCCTGTCATCCACACATCACTATTCAAATTTCTGTGCTGAGAAGCCTGGCAGATCCTGAAGTTTTATCATACTGCAGTCCCCAAGAGCCCTTAATACAGAGCCAGCTGATAAGTGACCAACTGTGTAAGTGCATACAATGTAGAGCTGTACTTCCAGAAACAGGAGATGTTAGGTGTCTTTAAGGGATGTGGATTGAATCTCTGCAAACACAGGATTTCAAATAGACTTCAGGTCAGAGTGAGTGATGTAGCATCATGACCAATGTAGCAAGAAGGTTTGAGGATATGGCTGAGTTAGAAAAAAACACGTAGAATCTAACGGAACAAAAAGCTGAACAAGATCCAGTGGCTGGAAGATAAATTTAAAGATAAAATCCCTCAAATGGGAAGCAGTAGGCAAATCTTAGAAAGTAACATAGGTTATGATTGGGAAAGGTTGTCTGAGGATGTGATACTTTTTCGTTGTCTTGGACTCTTGATTTAATAATAGAATTATTTTTTTTTAGTGAAAGGCAGTTGGGTTCAACCCCGATTTTGTGGGTTGAATACATAAATTACTGGGTAAAATTTTAGAGTCTGTGTTAGGCAGGAAAGATAGAATGGAATAGAATATTGTTTCCATGATCTGCAGTGTTTGTTCTGGTTTACAGGGTTTAAGACCTGTCAGAGGTTAAATGAAAAATTAAGCTAAAATATTTTTCAAATCCGTTTTCATCAGCACATGTATTCACTCTTAAAGTGAATCTGAGCAAACTGTGATCCCTTGGTTGTTCTCATGGCCTGTTCTGTGCTGTTTTTTCTGTATTTCTCTTCAAGAGAACTGAAGAATAGAGGTCTGAATGAATTTCAAGTATTATTCTAATATGCTATCTGTCATAACACAGGGAAGAACTGTAGCACAGAAAAAAGAAGGTACAAGCTATCTTGCCTGCTGGTAGAACTAGCTGGAAGTTTTTCTGACCAGCTTCTACAAAATTGCAGGTTTTATATTGATCACTACCATACACATCCCTTTCACCTACGTGGAGGTTTGGGAATTGGAAGCAGGCCTTGTTGAATGGGAGCAGAGAAAACTTTTGTCACATCATTGTTAATGGCTTACTATTTAATATTGTGGTGATGGAGCTAAAAAAGGCTTTTAAATTTACTCCGTGAACTATAAATGGGTTATAAATGTGAGGAAGGGTGATGAGCTGAGAGTGGACTACAGCTGAAGATAGGAATATTTTGCTCGTTGGCAAGTCATACCGGGCTGATGAAAGCAAATACAACAACTTTCCTAATTCCATTAAAAAAAGGCATTTTTGTTGCTGTTATTGTTTACTTTTTTCCTCTCCTTTTGTAGGCTTATGAAATGAAACTAAGGAAGTCTGTCAACCCTTCTTCAGCATTTTTATCCACCACACTGCACAGTTTGGATAGAGTCTTGCATGGTGGAGTGCCTTGTGGATCCCTCACAGAGGTAACTTGTTTAATATATTTTACTTCAGTTGAACATTTCACTGAGAAGTCAGAAATGACAGTTAGTTTGGACTATCATGTGCTTTAAAGACAAAATGCACAAAATCTTTTGGGTGAGAAGTGGTTTTCTAAAAATTCAAAGAGGCTGCCCTTTTGAGTTTTATGGTGGTGATCTTAATATGTTACTTAAGTAAGAAGAAGGAGTTGAAAAATATTGCAGTCCTGTTTTCCTTTTAATAAAGCAATTTTTTTGCAGGAAATTTGGGAGAATTGTTGGCTGGATTATGCATTGGGAAGTTGCAGTGTGGTTTCATGGTCAGAGCACAAGGTGCTGAATCAGGAGTCTGTCCTTTTAATAGTGACTCACTCTGACTTGAACTAGTCATTAGTTTTTCTGAAGGTAGAATAAACACTACAGAAGTGTGAAGCATATAGGCATGAGAATGATTTCACAGAGCTTTTGTCTAGAAATGTAGCTAATTTATGCCATAAATACACACTGCATTCTTTTTTAAAAGGCCTGTCATTAAGGCCTATGTTACATGCACATACATTGCAACACTACAGATTGCATATCTCTCTATCTGTAGCTCTATCACTCTCTGGACTTTGGATGCAGTGCCACTTTTTTTCCTTTGAATTCAGTCTTTAAGAACAAGGGAGCACTTTATCTTGTACTATCTGGATTTCTCTATGGCCTTGCAGAAAGTGGTAACTTGCTTAGTTTCTATGGTCTGTGAAGACAAGATTCGTGTAGATGCTCATAGGAGTCAGTGAGTATTATAAAAATAAAAAGATGCAATCTCTGGCTTTGGAATTTGCTGAGCTACAAGTGGACTTAGAGAAACATATATATTGGAGGGAGTGTCAGTACGTGTGCACTGTTCCTATGTAATTCCCTTAGCTATCTGTTGTAGGTCCTCAATAGAGAGAAATCCAGAGCTAGACAGACACTGGGTTTATGCAGTGTGGCTGTACTTGTCATCTTAAAGTTCTGAACAAAGCTGTGCACTGGAATGAGTAGATGATGTGTATATTGTATGCACTGTGCCCTGCATATAGACAGGTTGAAACCACTTTTTTCCTTGAACACTTTAATAGTCCTTACCAAGTGACAAATTGTCACACTAAAGGAATAAAAGTGAGAAGTTATTAAAATCTTATAATGAAGAAAATAACATTTTTTCCACACCCTATAGTTGAGCTAGATTGGTTTTGATCTCAGATAGAAATCACTTAGGAAATCTGATAGGGACTTAAAACATATTAGTGTTCAAGCAATGCTGAGTTTAGATTAAACCATTTCTGGTCTTAGTAAACTCTTATGTAATGAGGGGACATTAGTTAAGATGAATACTCTAAGTCTTTAAATTCTGAGAGAAACAACTTGCTGAATTTTGTTTCATTGAAGAAGAGCTGTTCCTGTGTGCTGCAGTGGGATATGCATGGTCCTGAGGTTGTAGCA